TGCTCAGTATTTTTCTGTAGACTGTCCTGGAAGTTTGTCTGTGCTAATTCTCTTCAATGTTTGCACTGCTGCCATCAATGCTGACAAAGCCCAAGCAGGGCACAGAAGAGCTGGGACTGGCTATATTAGCTACTCATCACACAGACTTTCTAAGCCAATGTTTCTTTACATCTCTGCAGGAACAACAGCTGAAATGCACATCCTCCATAAACATGTTGCCAGGGATGTTCATTATGGGCATCTTATCATGCAAAGCTTTGTATTTTTTATATTAAGTGGATAAAATTCTGAACAAGCATCCAAGAGAAAGTCTGAGCTTCCCATACAAGAGAACTATGAAGCAGACATAGAGCTAAAAATAAGTGTTCAACAAGACTCTTAATTGTCTGATGCAATGGAAAAATGCATACATCCACTATAACCAGCAGAGGACTTAAAGTTCAGATGGCCTTTAAAGGTCCCTTCCAACCCAAACTATTCTATGATTTTGAGCTTGACAGGGGTCCAGAAGATCTGAGTGGTAGGGGATGGGTGTGCACCTCCTTCAGTTCACAACTGCCTAGCAGTCTGTACAGCTCTTCAGTATATGAAGATGATCTTGCTCTGGGGCAGCAGGTGCTGAGGGAAATTGCAAAACAAAAAGCTTAATTCCAGGAAGCAATCATGATGCTGACAGCTTGTTTCTCATCCTTAAGAGCAGGCCAACAAGCTGCTTCAAGGTAACCAGCAAGAATAAGTACCAGCCTCAGCAATCAGAGCTAATTCTAGTCATTTGTAGAACTGACAATAACCAGGTATGTACACAGACTAATCATGCAGCCAGACGTCCCAGACACCCTTCAGTCATGAGTTAACAGTTTAACTGTCCTGACCACAGTTAAATCATTCTCCCTAAATACCCAATTACCACTCAGACATTCTTAACTCACTCCAGAGAAGAGGAAAACAAAGACAGAAAACAAAAACAAAAATCAGTACCTTCCCACAGAGTATTATTTAAAGTTCTGCTTGTCCATTTTAATCTTAAGGGAACAATGGATCCACAATACATCCCCAGCTGTAAAGAACAGTTTTCTCAGGACACTAGAGGCAGCTACAATGTTTGATGTTAGAAGTTACTGATTAAAAAAATTAACTACAACACTGAAGAATTGGGATCACACAGCCACAGCACATTTGGGTCCTCTGAAAGTCACAGCATGATAATATGGAAACTGCCAGAATAAGATTAAGGAGATTTTTGTTTGTTTCTAATACCAATGTTAAAGAACTCTTGAACTGAACATCATGGGGCAAAGTTAAAATCCTCAACACTTCCCAATTCCAGCCCATGTGACTTAGAGTATTGAATGATCACTCAAAGCTCCTTGGGTATGCTCAGCCTGCTGTCTCACCAATAGGTTTTATTCCTAGTGTATCGTCCCAATACATTTTATTTGGGGGGGAAGATACTGCATAGAAGTCAATATTCAGCGTTTGAAATACATGTGCTGATCTTTGTAGCAGAGCTAACTGAGCAAGATCAGGCTTGACAATTTGTAAACTACAACAGTTTAAGTATTTCCTGAAGAAAGAAAATGAGGTCGTCTTTGTTGCCATGGTCTACAACCCACTAAGTGGGATAGTCAAGAATTGTGACTGCCTCTGTTTAGTCTTTAATGTTGATTCTCCCTTATCTCTTCTCCAGGATACGGCTGTCTTCAAGAAGTCTGGTTCTGTTTGTTTCAAACATCACAAGGCTGGAAGCTTTAGAGGGCTTAGTTTTTCCATATAGCATCTACATCAATGAAAACTTAAAGTTTCCTCTTGGGTTTCTTTCATTTCCTTCCTTATAAACCGATATTCCTGTAGCCTTTATTATTTTCAGTACATCTTTTAAGCACTCAAGTGGTTTTTGCATCTGCATTTAAGCACTTCATCTTATTTAAACAACATTATTTCACCTTCATTACCACTATATGCTCAACAGAAGCATCTCATACCTTTCTCACATATCAGCTGCAGAGGAAAGCCCACATGAGGGGCAGACCAGAGTTAAGCGTGATGACTTACATAGAATGAGAGGAGACAGCACCCAGTTTTCACCTCGAAAGAATCAAGGCTCATTCATACAAGAGCAGTAAGACTTTTCCTTGCTCTGAGTAAGACAAATGCAACAAAAGGAAGTTAGAATAGACCAGGAACATTCAAAATGCCATTACTACCCACAGATCTCAGATGAGACCACTTCAAGATCAGTTTCTTCCGTCTCACAAATTAAAATTTAATCCATCTTGCACAAACTTGTTTTTAGCATTCACATTGCAGCATTATGTGATTATTCACCATAACTACTTACCTTTTTATTTTCAATTTTTAGCCTTTGGACTAAAAGAATATTTAAGCCACTAGTTCAGTTGCAGAATAATGACAAAACAAACAAGAAAGCAGACAGCAGTCTTCTTCAGATGTTATAGTTTAAAAAAAAGTCAGGCACATTTGTATACTAGAGAATTAAAGCTTCAAGGAAGTTAAATGCAACCATTGTATATGTCTTGCAGCTAAGTAAACTCTAAAAAGGTAAAACAAAAGGAAAGTTTGTTTCTAGGAAGACACCACATGGTAAAACACTTAGTAAATTCAGACCTGGACACCTCCTACTGCATTAGATGCACCAAATCTGTTGGCTCAGGAACACAAGACATGACTGTGGTCATAGACTGTTCATAAGACCCAAACTCATCTCTTCCATTATTGTAGTGACATGACCATACAAATACCTTCAAACTGCTGTAACAGTAGGAAAACGATTCAGCACTTGAGACATTCATTACTGCTTCCAAAATACTCAACACCACAGTAAATGCAGTTCAGTAGGCACTATTACTTATGAGTAATGTAAGGCTTATTAACATGGGGTTTCAGGACACCTTTTGTTCAGCCTGAAACACCGTAAACAAGCTGGTACTCAAGCCTGGTAGATTTAGCAAGATCCTTGCTCAGTACACTCACCATTTCTTTGTGAAACAGGCAAAGAAATTCACCACTCCCCTTTGTAACTGGGCACCACTATCTCTGACCTTTGTACTGAGCTACCTACTTTAAAGGAGGTAGCTGCAGGCATGAGTGAAGTTCATAGCCCACTTAAGACATTCATCAACAAGCCTTGAAATTCATTGCATGGATACAATCCATGGATCTAGGCCTCCACCATAAAGCAGATACCACAGACACAAGCATGGGATATCTGGTCACATCTGGCATTATCAGTTAATACCAAGACTGATTAATTTACTTGACTAGAAAGTGTTTGAAGCAAGAGATCAAGAATTACATTGGCTAGACTAAAACTAAAGTAAATATCCTTTAAGGGAGGGCAGCATTTGAGACAAGTGAATCAGTCATTACCACTACCTCAATTTTGGAGGAATTACTAGGAATTTACTAGGAGGATTCACCAGCCTGGACAGGGAAGAAGCAGGGGAAAAAAAAAAGGTCTTACACACATCAAGAGAAGTAAAACCCCTGAAGCTAAGAGCCTCATGACACACACACTAGTATAGTCAGGTTTAAAAATTAAAGAGAGAGGCTTGTTAGCTAGTACTTAGTACTTCTGCTGAATAGCTTGTTAATGTCAGTGTTAAGCATATTCTTGCTTGGAAACACATAATGCCCCATACAGATTACTCTTAGGAAGCAACAGGCACTGAAGGTTTTAAACTTACAGTAAGAGAATGTCTCAGACTTACCTTGCCATTTAAATGAGCTGAACTTAGTCCTCTACATGTTGACAAACATGACTAACTAGTATTTGTAGAACTACTTTGGACAGGGGTTGTGTTTAAGAGTACTCAAGGTAGCATTTTGTTGGTTTAGTTTTTTTTTAAAACACTACCTAACAAGTAACTGGGGGACACAAAACAGTGTAGCAGTGCAGGATAAGATAGTTAGTTCTGTCCCATCATCCCCTCTCCTGCCTGCTGAGAGCAATGTTTCTCTAGAGACTGCAAAGCACACATGTTCAGCAGTACTGTACTGGCAGGAGAGGTCATCTCCGACAGCTATGCCATAAGACTACTCAGTTACCATAAGTCTGACACAGCAGCCACCTAGCTGTTCTAGTACCTTACATGCCCCAGTTTCTTCGTCATAGCTGTCAGCGTTGCTCTCTACTGCAGTCTGTCCACCAGGGCTTAAAGTGTTCCTAAGGCAGGAGAGGTCATCTCCGACAGCTATGCCATAAGACTACTCAGTTACCATAAGTCTGACACAGCAGCCACCTAGCTAAACTCCACTGTTCTAGTACCTTACATGCCCCAGTTTCTTCGTCATAGCTGTCAGCGTTGCTCTCTACTGCAGTCTGTCCACCAGTGCTTAAAGTGTTCCTAAGGCTCTGCCAGCCACAACCTCCCCTCCCTCCAACTCCCTGCAGAGGGAATCCCCCTTATTCACCTCCATAAAGGGAAGTTCAACTTTCACCTCAACATTGATGGTCTTCTACACACAAGTCCAGAGTTCATACACCACTTGCATCTGGATGGTTTTGCTGTGATATAAACAAGTTCCAGAAAACAGGTTCTGTTTATGGATGCATGATCTTGTCTCATAGAAGAGGAAAAACAGATAAGACACTGAAGCAAGTCACCTGTGTCTATGGAGATGTCAGGCTGTGTTGGTTCAAGCCACACTTTGACTCCGGCTAGCTTAGAAGCCCTGCTCACAATGGATTTAAAAAAAACCAAAAACATCACAACCCCTTCTTGTCACTGTTACCGCAGATATTAAGAGGAGTCAGGAGATTCACAGAGGAACGATGTAATAAGACATTTATTAAGTGCTGTCAATTATATTAAGACCTATAGTCTAATACCCTTTTTTAAAAAAGGCATCTAATTAAAAATACTAGCTAAAAACCATTCTGATCACTACGGTTACAGACACATGACCTGCAGTACTCTGAAATGTTAGGCCAGCTTTGCTGACTGGGAGGAAATAATCTCCAAATCCAGGATCCACAGTCTCTATTGTAGAGGAAGAACTGCTGGGGGTTCCAGAAGAGACACTTGCAGGTACCTGGAATAAAAACTCGGTCAATAAAGATTAGTTTAGCTGACAAATTTAAGGACATCACATTCTTGTGCAATACACTGGGGAATAAAATAATTTTTCTGCAATGTTGCGGATGACTGTTACCCAGTACATCTGTACACCTATGCATGAACTACTCTTCTGGTCAGAAAAGTTTTCCCCTCAGGAGGCTGTCAGAGGCTTCTGTTTCAGGAATAGAAGCTAACCATTATGAGAAGTTCAGCTACAGCAGCTATAGGCCAGGCTGCTAAACCAGAGTCATCCTGTGCTTACAGCCTCCAAGTTACAGAACACTGGCTTCCTGGTTACTTACTGTGAGCGCTTGTACTTCTCCTTAATTGCTTGCAGTTGGCAATGGGGAGCATCAAGGCATGCTTTGTGCAGATCAGTCAGGCAAGGCACTATCTCACTTAATGAATACCCGGTGAATGCAACAAGTGTTTCCGGCTGGTCAGAGGAGAAAAACCAGTGTTACACTATTGTAGACAACATTCACATAGAGATATATTTTCTACAGAAACAGAAACCATTTTCACTACATCAGTGCTCGCTCTAGATTCTTTAGGCTTGAAAATGATTCAAGGGTCTCCTGCCATCACTTTCACTCTAGGTCTTCCTTGGTGCCAGGAGATCTGACAAGAAGCTCCTTCTGCTCTAAGCATGTGGCATCCATTACATCTCCTCTGGGTTCTGCTCTCTGCTAAAGCTACTCCTCCAACACACAGCTGAGGCCTATCAAAGCTTGCATTAACACAGACACTCAGTACAGTCATTCCACTCAAGTGGACACATTCAGCTCTCCTCTCCCTCCCAGAAAGCCCCTAAATTGTACTTTGGGGGAGGAGTTTTGGACATGAAAGGCTGACAAGGCCTTAGGTACAGACTTGATAGAAGTGAGGAAGACAGCAAGGTCCCTCCCATTTCAGAGAAGAGGCAGGATATTTCAGGTTGATTTAACATTCATTTATCAAGTAGTCCCATTAGCTCAGGATCAACCACTCATCCTAGAATTTCAGCCTTTATAACAACATACTTTGAAGCTACTCCTTCTGCTTCTCAGCCTAGTTTTAACAATAACATCAAATCCTTGAGCTACTCATTAACATGCAGTTCTTACCCAGAAAGATCTGTTCACCGTATAGTTTGCTAGACAGTAGGCTGCTGCAGCAGTTTGTGATGGAAGATACTTCAGAAAAGGATCAGCTTCAAGGAGACTTAACTCTGCAAGATACTGAACAAAAAATCCATAAGTCTTCCACACACAAAAATCCCATAAGTCTTTCACACAGAATGAGCCTAGCTGGTACAATTAGGCCAATACAGCAAACTGAAAATTGTCAGTGGTCTCAGTTTCATGTAAAAACCATGAGTTACATGTCTGGTGGGTAGAAATAGCATTTGAAGTCCTGTTGATCTTAAAGGACTTTTAGCATGTTTCAGTGGGGGACAGAAAGACCACACTCTGTCAAAGCCTAAACAGTCTACACTGTAATCTGCAGTTCTGGTCCCATCATGAGCTCTGATGTAATTTTACAGATACTTAGAAAATTCATATTTTGTAAAAATAACAAACATACTTTTCCCATCCTCTAAGGCTTCTGTTCACACAGATGGACCTCACTTGGAGATCAGGGTTAAATCGACAGCTCTCAAATAGAGTTTGGCCTCTGTTGCAGTAGAGTCACTGTACAATCCTATACCCTTTACACATAAGCAGCACGTCAGATGTTTTGCTATAAGCTTGGGTTATCCTGTTTCTAAGCAGGGTTGCCTATGCAGTTATAGGCTGTGTCATTGTGTAGCAACATGTAGTACCACCACATCCAGAGCAGACTGGCTATGCAGACACTGTGGAAAAAATAACCACGTTCTACCACCTCGCTGCCTAGTCAGTGCATTATCCCTGACCAGGAAGGCCAAACTTCAGATCTCCATGAGACCATGAGTATCTTCTGCTAGAGCATAGTATAGTAGCAGAACCTGCCTGCTCAGATAATGAAATACAAGTGATTCTGCTTTTAGGATCACTTCTCCTCCCTCAGTCCTAAAAGAAGGGTAATTCATACCCTTGCAAAGTTCTCTGTCCTGATACAGACTCTGTGTCTCTGAATATACTGAAGAAGGAACTGGTTAGTGGTTGGGGCTGTTAGGTCAAAAGCCAACACTTTGAGAAGCAGGTGTTCCATTCTTAGCAGCTGCCTCTTTGTGTAGGTATCATCTGTTATATACACAAATTCATCCACTTCTGGTGGGTAGATCTCTTCATATTTCCTGAAAAAGGAACACAGAAGCCACATTTGTCAGCTTGAAAGTTATGGTAAAAGAACACTTTCTGCTGGATCAATATCAGCATGAGCGCATGACATTAAGATTTGTATAGCGCTCCTATTTTAGTCCCTCCTCCAGGCTACGTAACAATTTAACTTAAAACTTGGGCAAAGATGTTTAGAGGAACTCCAAGTCATCAGTCTAGATACAAACACACTTGCATTGTTAGCTCTTGACTAATAGTAAGCTCTCAGAGAAAGTCTCAGTAACACAGTGCACTCCAGACAAAACCCCATGCACTCCTAGGTTACACTAAGTACCCTGTCTACTTAAAGCAGTTCAAGGCTAATTACAGATTGTGACTGTGAATCCACTACAGCCCTATAGGCCAGCAGCCTAACACAGTTGTGTTTTTATTCCTGC